AGTTAAGAACGAAAGAGAAAGCAATTCAATCAAAAGGAAATGGATAAGGCGTAGCTAAGGTGAAGAAAAAGAAGAACTTTTACGTCGGGCGCCAAATTGTCGTGAAGCGACAATTAAAAACTAAATAACCTAACCTAACTACAACAAAACAACCAAAAATAAAATAAATTATTTAAAAATTTGAAAAGATTTACAGTTTCTTTTATAAAAAAAGGTATGAAGGTGATGATGGGCTGTAATGATGATAGTGATTTACAATATTATTAAAAAAAATAACAAAAATAAAGATACTGCAACGAAGTATGCACAGGCTATGCCTATGATAGGTGCACAGCGCCTGCTCTAGGTACACGCAGAATCTGGAGAAAGCACATGCAGCGTCTGGAGAAGGTACACGCAGCGCTTGGAGTAGGCACACGCAACGCCCGGAGCAGATACACGCAGCACCCGGAGTAGACACGCAGCGTCTGGAGTAGGTACACGTGGCGCTTGAAGTAGGCAAACACAACGTCCGGAGTAGACACACACAGCGTCCGGAGTAGACACGCAGCGTCTGGAGTAGGTACACGCAGCGCTTGAGACAAGCACGCTCAGCGGCCGAAGATAGCGCGGGCACTAATAGGTGGAGGCGTAGGCGTGGCTAGGCGACGACTTCAGGAGAAAGCTTGCAAGATCCCGAGGCAGTGCGGATAAAGCCTTTAAGAGGTGCTTCTCGTATCAAAGCTGAAGTGAGCCCCCTATCGGCCGATTCTTCGGCTTTTATACTTTTTGACGGATCTGGGATAAGAACGAGAAATTATTTGAAATTATTTAAATTAAAAGCAAATTTTTGTAAATGGCCAAGAAGAAAAGAGTATTTTTGAAGTAAAAACATCAGGCCGGTAACAATATTTGAATAAAAATAGCCACGACAACCATATAAACAACGATGTCAAAACATGTCAAATTTTGGTTTTAAGCTCGTAATACAGAAACGGCAAGATTTAAGTGAAAAATGAGATATTATTTATATAGGAAAAAAGGTAGCGCAAGAGCGCGCACGAAACCCGAAATTGTAGAGTTACGGAGAACTAAATAAAAGATCGAAAAAGGTAGACTCCATTGACACCGATTTAACAAGTGCTGATAACGTGAAAATACGAAGTGAAAATGATTTGTTATTGTGTTCTTATGGTTTAAAAACGTTACAGGATCCTATGAAAATAAAAGTGATGCAAAATATCCAGTTTTGAGGCTAATGCAGAAAATCAAAAACAAAATGGAAAAATAAATTCAAAATAGTGTAAAATGGTATGTAAGTATGTATGTAAGCATAACACTACACCAGACATGTCTAAGCCCACTTATATCCCAGAGCAGTTTTGGGAAATGGTAAGGATGGTGTTAATGAAATGTAAGGGAAATGAAAATATTATTATGCTAGGAGATTTTAATGGAAGGGTTGGTGTGAGGAGGCTTGGTTATGAAGGGATATTAGAAACGTTTGGTTATGAAAGTATAAATGAGAATGGTGAAAGTCTCCTCACCGTATGTATGGAAAAGAATCTTTTTGTGACGAACACTTGCTTTCGCCACAAGAGGATTCACATGTATACTTGGGAAAGAGGTGGCGATAGAAACATGATATATTTCATAATTGTGGATGAAAAATTGTGGGGCGCAGTGGTAGATACAAGGGTTCAGCGGGGTTCTAACGTAGGAACGGATCATTATTTGGTTTTATGCCGAATTAATGGTCTATTCAGGCGTTGGCGCCATCGGTCATCTGTGTCTACCACTGGGTTACAGCGTATTAGAACAGAAAGGTTGCAAGATGAAGGTGAGAAAAACAAGTTGAAATGTAGACTGAAAGAAAATATAAGTAGTTTGGATGAATTATGTATGAAGGAGTTATACTTGGAGAATGTATGGCAAAATGTTAAGAAAGGTTTAGTGGATGCAGCTACCGAAGTATGTGGTGTAAGTAAGAGAAAGAATGTAAGGAAAAATAATACGTTTTGGTGGGATGATGAAATACGTATGGAAGTTGAAGCAAAGAAGAGAGCATGGCTAAATTTACTAGCAACAAAGGCTGGTAATTCTAGCGGTACGAATGATGAGATTTAAAGAAAAAAGGCAGAGTTTAAACGTCGAAATAAGAGAGTAAAAGAAGTTGTTGAAAGGAAAAAGCAAGAAAGAACGGATAAGAATGATAGAAGAATATCGGATAACTTCCAGACAAATATAAAAATGTTCTGGAAACTTGTAAGAACTGCCAGGGGACATTCAAAACAGCCTATAATGAATGTTATAAGAGAAGAAAATGGCTATATTCTGAATGATGAAGTTTTGAGTTTAAAGAGATGGAAGGTATATTTTGAAAGCGTCTTTATGAGTGAGAAGACAACGTGTGAACTAAATGAAGTAGAAACTCTGAAAGAAGAGGAAAGAGGTAGCGAGATAAGTATAGATGAAATAATGAAAGCAATGAAAAGCATGAAAGCAAGTAAGGCTGCCGGATATGATAGAGTTTCACTCGAAATGCTAAGGGCTGGAGAGGAGGTAGTGGCAGGCCTGCTGCACACCTTGTTTAATTTATGCTGGGAACTGAAGCGGGTATCGGCAGACTGTCGTGCCGTGATAGTCCCAGTATATAAAGGAAAAGGGTCGCAGTTGGACTGTAAAAACTACCTTGGCATCAGCCTTCTTAGCATTGTGGGAAAACTGTATGCTAAGGTACTGATTGAAAGGGTCATGAAAGAAACTAATGGAAATTTTTGGGATGTGCAAGCGGGATTAAGAAAGGGAATGGGCTGTACAGATCAAATGCTTTCCATGCGCATGATCGCGTAGAAGTTTTTGGCCAAAAACCAAAAGGTTTTTTGTGCGTTCATGGACTTGAAAAGGCCTATGACAGAGTGGATAGGGATGTGCTATGGCAAACACTGAACTCATTTAGGTTGAGCGCAGGCTTGATACAGGCATTGGAGTCTCTTTATAGGGACTCTAGTGCTTCTGTTAGGATCAACGGGGTCTACTCGGACTGGTTTGACATCCATAAAGGTGTCAGACAGGGTTGTGTGGCTTCCCCGTGGCTGTTCAACCTATTTATGGACAGTTGTTTGCAAAATTTGAAAGTTGAAGAATGCGGATTAAGAATGCGTGAGTTAACCGTCAAATGCCTTTTGTACGCCGATGATCAAGTTATTCTTACGTCGTCGGCGGCCGAGTTGCGAATGATGGTTACATTAATGAACAAATCATTTAAATAAAGGGGTATGAAAGTGAACGCAAGTAAGACGAAGGTAATGGTTTTTGAAAGAGAAGAAAGTAAAACGATTTGTGAAATAAGAATAGAAGGGGAGTTGATCGAGCAAGTAGATGAGTTTGTATATTTGGGTTGCATATTTAACAGGGGTGGGAGATATGATAAGGATATAGAACGACGAGTGAATGCGGGAAATAGAGTAAATGTGGCTCTGCACTCTATTGTGAAGAGTCAAAATGTGTCGAAAAAGGCACATATGGCAATTCACAATGCTGTGTTGGTCCCTACTTTAACGTATGGTAGTGAAAGCTGGGTGTGGCAGAAGAAGCACGAGAGTAGAATCAACGCAGTAGAAATGCGGTCGTTAAGGAGTATATTAGGACTGAATCTGAACGACAGGGTAAGAAATTGTGTAATAAGAGAAGAGTGTGGTTTGCAAGATGATGTTTTGACCAGGATTAAGAAAGGAATGCTTCGGTGGTTTGGTCATGTGGAAAGAATGAATGAGGAAAAAGTGACAAAGAAAATTTATGTTGCAGAATTGAATGGCAGAGTCGGAAGGGACGTCCTAGGCGAAAATTTATCGACCAAATTGGCGATTTATTGAAAACGGGCCAAATTAGGAGTACCCTTAACGACGAGCATGTATGCGTACGTATATGAATGTGAAGGAGGCGAGAGAGGTGTGTCAGCATCGTGCCGAATGGAAATCTGTAGTCTCTGCCTACCCCTCTGGGTGACAGGCGTGAGTGTTTATGTATGTATTTATGTATTTGTATATTATTTGATCAAGCTTATAATATGGCACTAAATTCTCGATTAACAAATTAATTTAAAAGATTAGGCTTTTACAGCTGGTTTTGGAAGTTAGCTAGCAACTTTAGGTTTTCAAAACAATTACATTTTATGTACTTCCAAATTATTTTGATATCGACAGGCCATATTTAAAAATTAACAAAAATAAGATGCCACGATAATTTCTGACGTTCTTTTAAGTTGATATTTTTGTTTAAAAATTTTGAAAAATTAAAGATATTAGTTAGATAATTGCGAAAATACTAGCAACATCTAAGCACAAGATTAGAAAGTATAAACGGAAATGATAATATACTGAATATTTTAGTAAGAACAGAGCAAAGTTGAATCCGCTTAATCTGAAACGACGGACATGTAGTATAGGTGTCATACTCACGATCATGCTCCGTGCAAGCTGCATAGAAGAACAAATAGCAACAGTAAATGAGACAGCGTTATACATAGGGCTAAAAGCCATTTTGATGGTGAAATGATGACATTCACATTTTATATCTTACTTACAACTTCAAGTGCCTTGCCAGAAAGCGTACTTAAGAACTACTGACGCCATACAATGATTAAAAATTATACTGAAAATACTATCAACATGTATTGCATATTTATCGTTAACACAACTTAGAATTTTTAAAAACAATAATATCCAATTTAAGTAGCCAAACGAGTGTTGAAATAACTTTGGAAGACAACACTGAATCGACAGAGGCAGCTGTAAATTAATAATCATAAACGAGGTATGTTATTATTCATGTAAGTTGGTAATTATTTAATACTCCTGCATAGATCGAACGAACATTTTTTCACTAGCGAGGCTCTCATGCATGACTCACAGAATTATGGGGCATGCATAACTTCATATTTTTTCGATAAAGTTTTTTTGAGATGATCGTATAGGAAGAGAAGTATCATTATTAATGTGATGTGATGAGACGACTTATGATCAGACGCACAAAGTTCGTGTGATAGAACGCCATCCAGGTTCGTGCAAATGTATGGGTGAGATGATAGTATGAACGATGACACATAATCTCTCCCTGTCTGTTTGGGAAGAAGATGCAACCGCAGAAGAGGACAGTCCACATAGAATACTAAGCAAGTCCGAATCGACATTCAATAAAGGGCTCAGCGACGACGCACTGCCAGGCAGGTACACGAGACGTTCATCACTTACGACACAATGTGACGTTGCCGGCACTGATAGACTCGAGCCTGAACCACCACGTCCTCTGAACTGGTATCCCTGCCAAAATAATACTGTCACATGACGATTATCACGAACACCATCGGTTACCATATGAACATACAATGCATTACCTACTTATTGTTTCAAGGATTATAGAAAAAGTTTGTCTTATAGAAAACGTTTGCCAAAATAAAAACAAAAATACTGTTAGTGTAAAAGAAGGAAACTATTTTACTGTGACTTACGGTTGGTGGTGATAGATTAACGGCTGAACCACGGCGTTCTTGAGGGCCAATGCTTGAGTGGCGGCGTGTTGGTAAGCCTGAGTTACCTCCTGGAGTCCCTCCTGGGGACGAAGCGCAAGACGGAGCAATGCGAATTTTAGGAGTCATTAGAGTATTATCAGAGAGACGGCGATTGGGAAAAGTACTCCCGACACGTAAGAAATTGTTGTCGTTATTTGTAGAATTGCTTGAACCAAAGAACCATTGACCAATGCCAGTACCTGTGTAAGAAATTATTAACTATATAATGAAACCTGATAATCTTAAAAAAATTTTATGGTTATTCAAAAATTTTCTTAAAAATATTTATGAAGATGATGAAATTAATTTTAAGTTGCTACTTATTTGTTTGCTAACAAATCAGTTGGAATATTCATTTATGAAAACCTACCGAGAGAGAATTTACTTTTAAAGGCTCCAACACTTCCAGTGGCACTTGGCCCACCAACTGAGTTCTTGCGGGCCATATCTTCAGCACTAGAGGTTTTACGTTGCTCCACACGTAAATTGGGGATATTGAATGGTGGAGCGTTCATATTATCAGTGCTCATTTGATGGCGTAAAGGCCTGTGACGTTCAGGGCTTGGCAATGGTAACCCATCCATTTTTAATTTGTAACGTTGGTTATGGTCAATGTTATCCAGCATATCATATAATATCTGAAAGAAATAAGCATGTTTTATTCGCTTTGTTTGTAACAAAACCAGAATATATTATTATATTATTAAATTGTATTTATACGTGTTTAGAAAATAAGCGGAGACCATTGTGTAAAACAAAAGTATATTTACAATGTATTTGTATTTATATATTTGATGGCTTATCTTCATCATAATCATGAGTTTATAAGAATGAAATTTTAAAAGAATGCATAGCTGCCTTTGCTAATTTTTTTTTGTATTTTCCATTAAATCCATCACTCCGGAACATGTGTGTTTTAAACTGAAGAATTTTTAAGCGATAAAATGATCGCAAAACGCCAGAGATTTTACGACCTATTTCAGAGATATACAGAATGGGCCTTAACTGTATGAGTGGTTTTAATATGCAGTAAAAAATAACTATAAATTTTATTGTATTTTTATTTATACTTTTAAAATGTACAAGAAATGACAATTTAAGTGACATCTAATTTTTAAAGACAATGTTATTTAAGTGAACGCCACCAGCTTTTTGATATTCTTGTAGTCGCACTCGCAGATTTTGAAAAACACGTTCATAAGTTGCTCGTGGAATGGCGTTAATTTCTTGTAGAATGTAATGCTTTAACTCTTAAGCTGTTGTTTGTTTATTTTCGTAGACTCTTGTTTTTAGGTAACCTCACAAAAATAATCATTAGGAGAGAGATCTGGACTAGACCTTGGAGGGCACTCATTGTCCCCTCTTCGCGATATGAGTTTTTCTGGAAACATTTCCTTCAGTGTGTCTATTGAGACTGTGAAAATGTGACACGTGGCTCCATCCTGTAGATACCACGTCCTAGATTTGTAACCTTGAAATTCTTGGAAAGCAAGAACCAGAAACTCTTGCAACATCTGACAATAATTCTCAGTTCTCACTGTTACAGCAATTCCTCTTCGGTTTTCAAAGAAGTATGGCTCAATTATTCCACTAGCCGATATTCCAGCCCACACAATGACCTTAGGGTATGAAGAGGTCTTTGATGCATCTCATGGGGATTAGATTCAGAACAAAACAATTTTGCACGGCAATTTTGCTTATTAACATGTTCGTTGACATTAAAAGTTTGCCTCATCACTGAAGATTATGTTGGAAAAATTGTTAAAATGTTCCAGCATAACATAAGCAAAATTAAATCGAACATTGGCATCATTAGGCTTCAACTCTTGTGTCAACTGAATTTTATACGCTTTTAAATGCAAATCACGGTGCAAAATCCTGCGCAAAGTGGTCCTCTTGATGTTTAAAATTTGGCTTCTTTTGCGAGTCGATTGTCGAGAATTTTCTCTAATCGATCCATCAACGCGTTGAATAACCTCCGGCGTCCGTATTGACCTCGGGCGGCCCGCATTATTTATTCTTACTGTAGACCCGGTTTCTTTGAACATCTTAACCCATTTCCGAATAGGATTTGCGCATTGGTGCTTCTCTGAGATCATATAAGCCGAAGTGAACGCGGTACATTCGTCTAGCAACAGTCACAGAATTGTTGTTGACATAATACGCGCGAACAACGCGTCTAACGACATCCATCATGCCCCCGTACCTCTAACGGTTTTTGAATTATAGACAAAATAAAACGCTCATACAGTTAAGGCCCAGCCTGTGTACCGCCCAGATCAGAGTTTTATACCATTCATGGACTGATTTTGAATTTAATTCGTCAATCACGTTATATATGTCATCGAAATCAGACTATACAAAAATTTGATGGCCATCGGTGTATAACTGGAGCTTAGACTGACTATGAAAAATTTACAAAATTATCAATACTTATTTGTGGAAATAACTATTAGTGTGCACTTGCAAGCTCCCTCGCTAATGATGTTATTTTATTGAAACTGACACTTTAAAAATATTTACTGAATTTTGATACTGTATTATTTTATTATAACTTTTAAATAAAAAAGTAATATGGTTTACAAAACACGCCAGAATTACTTGCCGTACCGTTTTTGCGAACCGAAGTAGATTCCGACGTCCGCAAGGACTTATACATGTCTAAATTGATTAAAAAGTTTTGACTTTGACCGTATTCCCCTGTTATTTTCTCTAAAACGGTACCGCTTACAATATTTGTTTTAAATATAAGAAGTATACGGCTATATCTTTGTCTTTTGTAAATTTTTATGTTTGTTAAATCTATTTCGTGCAATCATGGCGATTTTACGGGGATGGAGCGGGAGCGAGTGACAAGTCAACAGTAAAGCCCATTTGCTTGCATTCGAAGTGTGCAACAATATGAATTATATTCGATTAAAAATACTATTATAAAATCAACAATTTTTTTAAATGATATAATATAATGAATAGATATAATGAATAGTTTACGATGTAGAAATATATTATATATATCATATCATTAAATAGTAGTGATAACATACTTAAAACTATAATCAAAACAAACCGCGATAGAAATTGCCAGCCACTTTTTTAATTCCATCGTACCAGGAGCTCTTTTAATTTTACTCCAGGTTTAAATGTTTGTTTCCTAAAAGTCGTTGTACTAACTGTCGACCAAACGTTTGGCAGCCATTGTAGACTAAAGAACGTTAAACAACCGGGAATATCATTATACGTTGGACTGGTGTCGGTTCGCATACTTAATATATTTTTGTATTGTCATATATTTTTTCTAACTGTGTTCCATTAATGTTTATAATATAAAATTAGTGACTGACCTATACATTTACTTAATTTTAATTTAAAAAAATTGCGCGGGTCCTTTAAAGGTGCGAACGCATTCTGTTTCTGTAGGCTTCTTTAATTGAATTTCGTTGCGAATGTCCATGAACTGGACTAGCATATTACCTGAATTGTTTTCTGTATTTTGTTAGCGTATAGTTTAACCCTACTGAATGCAGGCTTCTACCACAGTAGCCAGGATTTGGTATAATATCGCTACCGTTTACACTGGTGGAAAATATTATTTAAAGGTACAATATTAGAATTTCTTCAAACAAATTATAAAATATTTCACAGTTCAAGGTAGTAGTTATGTAAGATGTGGGAATACTTATTTAAAATGAGGTCGGGGATAACCCTGAAATGCCTTTCTTTTACGGTCTAATAAAACTCCAAACTGCCGTTTGAAACTTCACGTGAGTATTTTACTAACAAGCTTAAAGTTACTGAACTAAGAGTTGTAATTAAAACCTGACTGTTAAAAAAAGTTAACTGAATAGAGAGTGATAATAAGGTCCCGGGTTAGAATCTCGGGTTGGACGAAACAAATCGGTTATTGAGTTTTTCCGTCAAGAAATTCTCAGGCTCAGCCCGTAGTCTGCAAGTTAACGGTGTCTCATCCCAAAAAAAGAGAAAAAAAAAACAAATTCAAATTAACTTTTGTTTCTTACCTCCATAAGGTTGGTGAATTGATCAGCATTCAAAGCCGGATTAACCGTTTGAGGAGCAAGAGAAGGAATCATCTTTGTCGCCATAACGTTGGTCGTTAAACCAAATTTTCTTTCCATTAGTATTGACTTATAAAGTTCTGTAATCAATATAACTCTTACAGTTTTAAATATAGTCTATGTCGCTTTCATTGAAAATCACTTTATTAATATATGATAATAGTTAAAACGAAATTTACGCAACGCGAAATACATCCAACAGCATTTTTTCAAGTCGCTGAGCAGCAGTAACATATAAAATATTATAACTAAGAAAATTAGCGCCAGCTTTCGTAAGAATTCTACAAAGTGTTTATTGAAAAATATACACATAATTTATGTCAGTCGCGTCACAGTGAAATAAGCAGAACAATCTAGCGGAAAACCTTTGATATTTGCAAAAGCATGTTTTTGAAGATTAATTAAATCTAGTTTCTTTGTTGCAAAACAATTCATACATTGTGGATATATGCAAATATATTCTTAAGACATGATAACATTTAAATATAATTTGGAATTAGAAAATTAGTTAAAAGTTTTTTTAATTTAGTCGATGGCTATACCAATTATACTTACTGACAACCCGATTTATAATGTCCGGGTCACTAAGTCGCATGGCCAGCAGAGTGGGAATTACTAGTTCGAGAATATGATTCCGTTCGAGGCGGGTGAGCACTTTTTCATAGAATCCAAGGATTAAGCTGATAATCTTAACATCGCATTGATTTTTTTCGAGCAGTATTTTGACCTTGCCCAATATAATATTGTGTAAAGCATCGTCGTTAATATGATCAATCACGTTTTGGATAGCAATAAGTGAAGCAGTCTGTAATAAAATTAATGATAACTATAATGTACTATAAATCAAATATAATTTGAGGTATATTCTATGCTCATACAGAGGATATAGCTCAATAATTACTGTTGTCTAGTAATATACGAATGGCAGGAATAAGACTCCCCGGAATATCGCAGACTCTTTCCATTCTAAAGGTGTCAAGTATTAACTTTTCTAGTCCTTCCCTTTAGTATCATATCCATTTCCATTAAATATTTTTACGTCCCTCATTCTATTTATTGCCGCCTTCAGAGAGAGTGGGTTTTAAAAACGAAAACAAACTGTTTTGGCGTATTGGTTTTTAACGGCCAAACTGCTGGTTCAAATGTATTAAATAATTTTATGCGGTGCGGCTATTAGATTAAATAGAGTAGTGGACTGTGTATATTAGCGCGGTGAGAGCGGTGAATGGAATTTAATTTATTCGTGATACTTTTTACTATACGCTTAATATCCAATATACACAAGGGCGGGAGCGATGACGCGAGATATAAGCGATGCGGTTGGTTGCGTGTCTTCTCAACTTGTGTGAGCCCCGTTAACACGAATGCACATGCTGGACATAAAAAGATAGGAAACCCGGAAATGGGCTTTACAGTAATCTTATTGGATAATAATTAACGAATCTCTTATAAGCGTTAGGCGGTAGTGCAAAGTGGCGCGAACACCAACCTAACTAAAGACACCGCTCTTAGAGTAGTGTGAGTAGTGATTAATATTCTCTGTCGCTTTAAAAAGGCCTAAGTTCATTTATGAACTTATAAAGTAGTTGAATGGACACATATATAAAGTAATAATAAGACTCTTTTATAATATTCAATAACTTCATTCACTACTAAACAGATCAATATTGCCGAATCTGTCGGTAGGACGCACTATCAAAGGTATGTCCACGACTTCTACTGTGATCTTCATTTCAGAGGCGATTAAAAGTTATCCCAAAAGAGAGAATCATCCAGCATTGAGCTATTTAAGCTGAATCTGACGCTAATGTAATTTAACTACAAATTGCTATAAAAATGAGAAGTTCATATTCATCTTACCTGAATTTGGTTGGTGTTGTTATCCAACGCGGCAAATAGCAGCGGCATTATATCGGTTTGGGCTTCATCGCCTTGGCATTTCTTTATTATGATATGTAAATTCTCTAAAATTGTGACGGACGCCTGAACGCTCTTCGGGGAACTCATAAGATTCCTGCGGATATAACTATTAAAACTTTCTACCTAATCTTTGTAAAAGTGAACAGTTTTGGATGTCTTTTCTAGGAAATTAACTATTTTTTGTTGATAGATTTTTTTCAAAGCGGAATGTTTCAAAGCCTTTAATTATATTGAGTTTCTTCAAATACATCGCACCATTTCATCCCACGTCTCTTCATATTTAGCCGACTAAGGAAAATGCTTGGTAAAGTATACAAATTACTTTACAGAGTGGACAGGGATGTGTTACGGCAAATGCTGAACTCATTTAGGTTGAGCGCTGGGTTGATACAGGCATTAAAGTCTCTGTATAGGGACTCAAGTTCTTGTGTTAGGATCAACGGGCCTACTCGGACTTGTTTGGCATCCATAAAGATGTCAGACAGGGCTATGTAGCTTCCCCGTGGCTGTTCAACCTATTCATGGACAGTTGTTTGGAAAATTTGAAAGTTGAAGAATGCGGGTTAATAGTGGGTGAGTTAACCATCAAATGCCTTTTGTACGCCGATGATCAAGTCATACTTGCGTCGTCGGCGGCCGAGTTGCAAATGATGGTTACATTAATGAACAGGTCATTAAAAGAAAGGAATGAAAGTGAATGCAAGTAAGATGAAAGTTATGGTTTTAAAAGAGAAGAAAGTAAAATGATATGTGAAATAGGAATAGAAGGGAAGATGGTCGAGCAAGTAGATGAATTTATATATTTGGGATGTGTATTCAGCAGGGATGGGAGATATGATAAAGATAATAAATAAATAAATAAATAAAATATTGAAAGACGACTTGCGAAATATTGAATTGAATGCAGGAAATAAAGTAAACGGGGTTCTACACTCTATTTTGAAAAGTCAGAATGTGCAAAAATAGCACGTATGGCAATTCACAATGCTGTGTTAGTCGTTACTTTAACGTATGGTAGTTAAAGTTGGGTGTGGCAGAAGAAGACGGGAGTAGAATAAATGCTGTAGAAATGCGGTCGCTAAGTAGTATGTTAGGGCTGAATCTGAGTGATAGGGTGAGCAACTGTCACTATGTGATAAAAGAAGAGTGTGGTTTTCAAGATGATGCGGTGACCAGGATTAAGAAAGGAAAGGTGGTTTGGTCATGTAGAAAGAATGAATGAGGAAAGACTGACAAAGCAAATATATGTTGCAGAAGTGAACGGAAGAGTCGGAAAGGGACGTCCTAGGCGAAAGTTTGTCGATCAAATTGGCGATATATTAAAAATGGGCTAAATTAAGAGTACACTTAATCGACGATCGTGTATGCGTAGGTATATGGATGTGGAAGAGGCGAGAGAGGTATGTCAGGATCGTGCTAAATGGAAGTCTGTAGTCTCTGTATGTTTTACGTTCTTCCATGTAGTATGGGGCCTGCCTCAATTGTTGTTGGTAAACTTAATGAAAGAATAAGACGTTATTGCGCATTTATAAAATATCATAACAATTGTGGCAAATATGACAGAACGAAAAACCTATACTTTTAATTTATAGGGGAGATACGTCATGAGTAGTATGGTGTTAGAGTAAATATTACTGATGTATCTGTCTACATTAGTGCAGTATTTGTCGTGTAATTACGGCGTAAGGGAGTCGGCAGACTGATTGATTAAACTTAACTGCATTTTTTGAGAAGTCTGGAAAACCAAGAAAAAATGTGCTTCTTTAATGCAGATTTTTATCTTTATTTTTTACATTATGGTGAAAACTACACAGGGATATAATAAATTTTCTTCATAATTACATTTTTGCTTTCATCAAGATCGTTAAATTTAAGTCAAAGCGTACAAATAAACTTACCGAGAAACTAAGTTAAAAGAAGAAGGAAGGAAGTAAAATTCATTTAGAATTATAAATTTCTTTCCTTATTTTTAAACGGCAAAGTGTGGCTTCGTTTCACTCGTAATGAGCCAATTAATTTTATTTTAAATAATCTATATTTTGTTTTATTACCACCTCCTAAACCCATCTTAGTTATAATTTTTTCCAAAAGGATGTAATCGAATTCATTTTTTGTAATTACAATTTTGTTGCCTATATTTAATACTCAGTTTTTAAGATATACTATTAATATTTTTATCTACATAAATCGTGGAAAAAAATTGCTACATTATTAAATATACATATTCTACGATTTATAACTTTGCACTTTATATCCAATTCAGTGTTATTATCAATTTATTGCGCGCAACTAAAATTTTACGTTCTTATATATAATAATTGAGTCAAGTTAAATACTGTTGTAGAAGGATTCATGATATTTACTTAATATCCACTTAAACGAAAAAATTTTACGTAATTTTTTATTTTATAAATTTAATTGATTAAAACTACTTTTACGGATTTTATCGCGTTTTATTTATATTAATTTTAATACCCGACGTTTCGGGTGCTTTCCAGCACCCATGGTCACGGGGGACTGAGGTGACTGACGTCCCGATGTCAAAGTTAACCCGGAGTACCTTCAGCTTTTTAATTGTTGTCTTTGGTCCGATCTACGCAGAATAAACTAACTGTATTTTGAAGTCTTGCAGTGGTGTGCTTGGGTTTAGTTTTAATTTTATTAATTATTGGATCCCAAGCAGGTGGTAGTACCTAGCCTCCTTCTCTATTGAAATAAGGATGTTTTTTTAATTTCAATAGCCTCACGTATCATCCTTGGTAGGAATCGATGTTCTTTCGCGAGGATTTGTGGTCTATCAAATCTGATGTAATGATTGGGGCCATCTAGAATATGATCGCAAACTGCAGACTTCCCGGAACGTTGATGCTTCACGTCAGCTCTGTGTTCTTTTACGCGGGTTCTAATTGATCTCTTTGTTTGCCCTATCTGTGAGAGACCACAATCACAATCAAGCTTGTACACTCCTGCATCACACATGAAAGAACATCGATTCCTACCAAGGATGATACGTGAGGCTATTGAAATTAAAAAACATCCTAATTTCAATAGAGAAGCAGGCTGGGTACTACCACCTGCTTGGGATCCAATAATTAATAAAATTAAAACTAAACCCAAGCATACCACTGCAAGACTTCAAAATACAGTTAGTTCATTCTGCGTAGATCGAACCAAAGACAATAATTAAAAAGCTGAAGGTACTCCGGGTTAACTTTGACATCGGGACGTCAGTCACCTCAGTCCCCCGTGACCATGGGTGCTGGAAAGCACCCGAAACGTCGGGTATTAAAATTAATATAAATAAAACGCGATAAAATCCGTAAAAGTAGTTTTAATCAATGTATAGTGTTCGCGTAAATATAAGAAATCATTATAAATTTTAAAAACAAATGATAAAATTTTGTTCTTGATACCCTGTACACTATATTTTATTTAGGAAATTAGGAGTACCCTTAACCGACGAGCATGTATGCGTAGGTGTATGGATGTGAAGGAGGCGAGAGAGGTGTGTCAGGATCGTGCCAAATGGAAGTCTGTAGTCTCTGCCTACCCCTCTGGGTGACAGGCGTGAGTGTTTACGTATGTATGTATGTATGTATATTTTATTTAATTTTCTGGTCGCTTGAAATGTTTAAGGCTATATTTAATTAGTGTTTAGTACTTACTTCAGAGTTGGCAAAACGTATTGGGAAAATTCGTCTGGAGTTGCTTCGTTAGTTAACCAGACAATTGGTTGCAGTACGGCAGAGAGGACTTCGGCAGTCCTGACCTCCAGTTGTAGTGCCGGCCACACGTGCTGCCAGCGTAATTTCTGAAACATTGCTTTTGTTTAGACCAAACGCAGGAATTCAAGTAAGAATTAATAGAAAAATATATATAATTGGTAGTGTTTTTCTTTACTATTGCTGATTAAATTTGCATTTAGTCTAAGTTATCACGTTTTATAAAAATAAAGGTTTTAAAATATAATGGGACTCGATAGGTGGAGCTGTTGTGGTTCGCTTAGTAATTATATGAATTTGTTTAACATGTACTATGAATAGATAAGACGTACAAAATTACCCAAGTCCTCCTTCAAAATTTTATGTTTTGTACGGAAGTAATTATAACTTTTTTGACCCATAACATTAATGTGATGAAATACCTATTAATGAAAAATTTGTTTAAAGGATATTCAGGCTGAAAGAGTTTTAAATATGTTTTTAACAGTCTATATTGCTGTCACTTTGTGTATTGGCTTGTTGTATTGTTTTATAGAGCTTGGTAACTAAGCGAAACAACTGCAGTGCAGACAGATGAAAAACTTCTGGAATAGTCATTCATCTTTCCTCTTCCAAAATCGTTTTTAAACTTTTTCGCAAGTTAAGAACGATTATATCAATATGCCTGCGTGTTTTATTTTTATTTTTCAAGTTTGTTACATTTCTTAACTGAACTAACGCTGGTATAACTGCGCAGTTATAGTAATTAGAAGATTTAGCAGCTTGTTAGTTTAAAAAAAAATCTTTGAAACTAATAACAATATAGTAATACGGAAGTGGTAGATATATTTTGTATTGTAAAAAAATATGTTTGCTCTGTAGTCGTTTGGTTAGGATACCTTTGGTATATACGGCAACGCATCGATAAGAACAACTCGATAAAAGTTTGTTTTTTGATTGGGATCCTTCATAGTTATCACGTCCAAAAACTGCATTGCCTGGATAGCTGGTTCACTCTGGCATCTGTTCAAAAAAAAAAGCATTATCCAGCGAATCTGGCGCCTGATGAGTCTGTTCAAGAGAAAATAAATATATAGTATAAATCTATTTAAAAATGCAGGTGTTTTATTAGCGTTGCTGCTGCCAGCGGGTCGATCATCAGATCAACTTTTTTTATATTAATTTTTTTTTGTATTACACCATTGTAATCGACGGTACAAAAATTTGCCAAATTTCAGTTCAAACGGATATCAACAAGAGCTTAAAAAATTGATTGAAAATGTTTTAACAGGAAAGTCATACGAGGAAAGCAAGTTAAATAAAAGCTTGTGTCTTATAAAAATCAATTGTTCTCCGTTAGTCTCGCTAATGTCAAAAAGCGACTCCATCGGTTTTGATGAAAGTTTTGTGTGTACTTGAATGGTTGGGTCTCTGCATGGATTAGATTCACATTTGGACCCGTTAGGAAGCGCTGTTGTTGAGATCCGGAAACCACCCGTGGGGAGTCGGGGCAGATCGCTTGTAATAAATAAGAATTAACGCCTGAAGTCGGTTTAAAAATATCGCCATACTGATATTATGTACTAAAGGAATAAGGAAAACAAACCAGGAGATGGGCAGCAGTGTCTTCCAAATATCGAATGTAAATAAAAGAAATGTAGTTGGCAACCCACTTACCACGCGTGGCAACTATAGGAAATATCCAATCCACTTTGTGATTCAATCTATTGGGCAGGCCCATCTTAAGCAGTGAACATTTGCAGCAGATAGATGAATAAAAATAAATTAACGGACAGATATTATATAGATAGAAAATTAGAATTTAAGTTATTGAATATTGCGTAATACATTAATTATTATAATCTCTTTTAGTGCAGAATTGAATTGAGGTTCAAAGTACCGTGTAGTGACGTAACTCAAAAGAAATGGTAGTTTGAAAAATTACTTGAAGTATTTTATCAAAGGTAGCAGTTGAGTAGACGGCCGAGGGTGTGGATCCCGGGATAGGAGACGTTGCACGGCTTCTTGAAGAGCGCACGGCACTCGCGGCAGCACGGCGTTCACTTGCTGATCCAGCTATATACAACAAAAGCTTTTTGTTTCTTAATTACGTATGTTGAATTTTTGAGTGCATAAACCTTTTTCATTACTCTGATCCAATTGCTTTAAATCCTTTATTTGGGTAAAATCATTGTTAATAATGATGAATAGATTATAAGATTATATAGGTCAGAAAAGAAAGAAATAAATGTTGTATTGTAATGAAAAAGAAACCATCTTGTTTTCAAATTATTAAAATTTTAACTGTGGCTGACCGACAGTTTAAAGCAGGCAAGTTAATCTGCTTGTCATTAATTTAGAAATCATAGTATGATATTAATTTGATTTTTTAAGAAAGTAGGTACGCTAAATTTACGCTACAATTTTTAAACTTTTTTAGTCCGTTTAGTTTCTGAATAAAATCAAGTTTTAATCCCAAATTAGTGAGATACAGTTTCTTTTCGACTTTGGCAATTTCTAGTTATCACCAGTTCTATGATCGTTGATTTCATCTGCGGTGTAAACTTATGATGCTGCAGAATCTGTCAAAAGTCAGGAAAGTTGGGGTCCTTGCTCTATATTTAGGCGTACTAAAACACAATACGCTACTTCACTACAATTCAATCAATACTAGGTATTAGTTTACTCCTCTTGTGTCAGTTTCACTACTTGCCTTACCATCCAATTAATTGACTGATTAAACGTCGGGCTGCCACTAATTCATCAATTTGCGACAGCTGCGTGAGGAATTTTTTCTATCTCATAAGTAGAAGTTGCAGAAGTTGTAGAAGGTCTAGTAGAATGTTATTTAGAAACCGTTGTTTTCCTTATTTACATAAAGAGTGAGGATAATTATTTATGTTATTTTTAAAATATACTTCATTGATGCTCTCAAATTTTATATTAGCTTTTAAAACTGAACATAAAAGTAGACATCAGACAATAGACACCTAGAGTACAATTTTTTGTCCTTTTATACTATAATCGGAAATAATCCCTTTTTCAATGAATGCAGAAATAAAACCAGCTTTTATTAATTATGAAGAGTCAGGGTCAAAACAAAAATAACGGTAACTCGACTTCACAGAGGCAGTAATTTATTCATGGGGCAATATATACTGTTTTACAACAAAGTTCTACAATATATGCAAGGTCTCTTATTACCAAGTTATTTTTTTACTGAATAAAGACTGTATAACAAGGGCCGTTAAAGTATAAATAAACGCATGGTTGATAATAACCTTTTCTAATAACCATGAGATGACCGCTTTTGAACTGTTTCTAAAATGAGTTTTGTAATTAATTATCCAACGTGTATTTTTATTGTATAATGTTACGTTGGAAAAGGTCCCTCTATGTTTTTGCTAGTTACTCCCAGTACAGAAGTTTATATAATCCGTATAGAATAAAAATTATTGCACTCTATTGTGAAACTTAATACAACCGCAATAATGCATAAAGCGATAAATTTCTTAAAAAATACGAAGTCAATTTTAAAGTTCCTTAGTAAGAGCTAACACTAGCATAGCATAAACAAAAATATAATACACTACATCCATTTCAACAAACACTCACTTAAATTTCCATCCTGATAGGAATGGTTCCTATATTAGAAGAACTTTCCTTTATTTTCACTCAAATGTCCTATAATATGTTATTATATCAAACGCCAAACATAAAACAATGAATAAAACAAAATCAGTTTTTGACACCACGAAAACCGATTTTTGCGTTTTACAAACGATATAAATCGAGAATGGCTCCGCAAAGTTACTGAATGAAAGCAATGTACTTAAAATAGAATACAACATCATTCATACTTAAACCCACGCGTTTCATAGCTCTATGACAAAATGAACTCATATTTTGTATTATAGTAGTATCATTCAGTTTATTTCATTCCTGAATACTATACGAATGAAGACGTTTAAGGCAAATCTAAAACAGAAAAGGCTCAACTCCAGTAGTGGATTTAACGTTAAGGAATAAAAAAGAATATCATGACTCAATTGATACATTTCCATTTCTAAATGTTTTCTTTGTGTCACTATTAATCTTAACACCTAAATGAAAAACTTTCGCTATCATAAAAAATCTTAAAATAATTTGAAAGTTGAAAATTTAATTTGAAAAAATATTAAATCGATGAGGTTTTTATTGTTAAGAAAATAATATTACTCTCTATGTTATTCTATGTTAATGTGGTATAAAGAATTTTTTTTGCTAAAAAAACGTATCAAAATAATTATGAGATTTCGTATTATATAACCTTTCGCAATTATGCACAGTTTTGCAAATATTAAGCAACAAATGTAGTCTGTAATGCAATTATAATTCCGGAAATACATGGGGCATACTGAAAGTTCTGCGCTCATGGACGCTCATAATTGTTTGAATTCTGATCAAGATATTTGAATATTGATCAAGTGGAAACTGTGTTTTTATTACAAGTGGAAGTACGTCATCTGTAGCAAAAATGCCCGTAGCAAGATGGTTAATGCTGAGTGATACACGACCAATTGTTTTCCCAGTGTCTTTAAAAAAATAGGGAAAAACGACCAAAACTTCGCATCTATGACAAGGCTTTGGCGCACACTGCGAACAACAGGAAGTTAAAAGCTTCTGAAAAGGTGAAGTTCGTGCTCTTCCTGTATACAGTTCATACTAACAAACATATACGCGATTTCATTATTTTCCCAAAATTCAAAGATTTGATGAGAGATTTAATATTTAACGGAGCTAAAATAGGCCGCAATAGTTTTCAACGATCACGTGAAAAACCCTAAAACCAATGGTCGTTATATATTAAAAACGTGTTGAACGCATGTAAAATTTTTTAATATTTAATGGAGAATACTTTGAAAAACAGTTAACTATAGTTTACACATAAATTGTCTTATTTATTGGTGACGCAAAACTTTCAGTTCACCCTACGTAATAGACAACTAGTAATAGAATCTTACTGCCCGAAAATTATAACGAACACTTTTATTTTTTATATTGTTTATACATGTACGAGCCATGCTGCAGCTGTATTGTGGTTGTAACACGAATTATGGGTTTAACCAGGAAAGGATTACGCTCACACAGAGTACCAGCGTAAAATAGCACCATAATGCTTCTTACAGTTAAGAACCGGAGACCGTTTTCACTGAAAACTAGGCATTCCAACTTAGGCCTCAGGAGTGACAGAGCATTTGCGTTTTGATTTTTTTGAAGGCAAACCTAAGGCAGTAAATAATGTAACAAATACTTACGTATTCTATTTGCTTCATATAGAGTATCGGATTATTATTGGCCTGTAGGAGCGGTTTGCCGCTGTTGAAGACGGCACAGATTACCAAGCCCAAAGAGAACATATCTGAGAGTATGTTACACTGCCCGTTGGTTTGCACTTCGGGAGCTAAAAAAATTTTAATAATTATTTTAAGTTGTAGCAACCATATATACTTTATACTCTAGATACAAAAGGGACTAAAATGGAAAAAAGTTAACTCTGAAATCTAAAAATCGTTTACGAATGAAAAGAGGCACAACAGTATCTCTCTTCTATTATTTCTCAGAATTGAAAAATATATTCCTTCTTCAGTGACGCATGAACTAATATACAAGTACATTAAAGTGAAGTTAATTTCTCGAGTGACAGCCTCGTAGTGGCATGTAAAATATTGGGCGACCCCCACTAGATGGAGTGACAACTTGATGAAACATGAAATCAGTCGACAGATTTAGGTTTCTCAAGACCATACCTTCAGCAATCTATCACGCACCACAGAGCACGTTTTCGGGCCCCCTGCATCTATTGATTTCTAACCAGATCGTAATATCGTAATAAATACATAGTTGATAATTCCCCCAGGGAAGTAGAAAGTAAGAAAGGAAGTAGAAAGTTGATAAGTCCCCCAAAAAGTCTATAACAGTTAATTTTACAAAATATTGTTATTTTTTAATCAGTGATAAAAGTAAATTAAATTTTAATATGGGTTATTATTTATACCAATTTTCAAAACAAAAATATATCGTTCTATTGTCGTATCGATATCTATATATCGTTCTATTACATAACATTGCTTGTACATACCGAGAAAGTCAAGATTTGGTTGGCAGAGCTTAGCAACCTTAATCGACCACGGTGGCACTGCTATCATTTCTATGGGGTCTGAGCTGATGATGTCCTCTGTTAAAACGGATGTTAGTTTATTTATTCATAGGAAATCTATTACAATTTAGTATCATATAAATAGCTTATATTATGTTAATAATGTATTTAAATTAAGTATATAAGATAGCACACACACAAGTGTCAAGTCACGCAAGTTCATGTGTGTGTGTGTGTGTGTGTGCGTCGTGGTGTGTGTGTGCGTGCGTGCGTGCGTGCGTGCGTGCGTGCGTGCGTGCGTGCGTGCGTGCGTGCGTGCGTGCGTGCGTGCGTGCGTGCGTGCGTGCGTGCGTGCGTGCGATGCGTGCGTGCGTGCGTGCGTGCGTGCGTGCGTGCGTGCGTGCGTGTGTGTGTGTGTGTGTGTGTGTGTGTGTGTGTGTTGTGTCTTAATCCCACAAAATTACATTAAAAGTATATTTCTATATATATAACCCCAAAACAATGGTAATCATATGTGTAGATTAAATATGTTCTACAACGCGACAACCGTTTTGAAGTTTTTTGTAAACTAAATCTGCAAACCTGGTGTGTTTTAGCTATCAATCCTTAGTAAATCAGTTACTTATCTTCAACAAACGTATTAAGGTTTATGTCAAAATAAATATGATATCTTTTAAGAATATTATGTCATTAACTGTGTCTCAAAGAACCTGAGTAACGAAATTTACATAATTGTCTGAAAAGCTTTTTGAGCAAATTAAGCCTTTTCATAAAGTTTATTCGAATATGAAGTTACAAAATGTTATTACAAATTGAATCACATGGATTTGAATATAAATTTCAAAGTCAATAACACAATTTTGCATTCAATTAGCTAAGTTTAAACTTGCTGCTCTCATGTTTCTGTATAGCTGAGATGTCTATTTACTATTCTTCCCGCTTGTTTCATTTCTCACAAGATTAAATGTAATGTTTAAGCTTACCGACAAATTCCAGTCCAAATAACTTCCACGTGCCACGCTTTGTGACTATTATCACTTGAGGGCACACGTTACGGTGTACCTGGTGAGCGGTGTAGTGCAAGAAATGCAGTGCTTCTATTATCTGTTGGCAAGAACAAATTTCTTTAATTAAAATTTCGTTAATTAAACCTTTTGAAAAAGCCTCTACTATAAGGAAGTAAGTCACGAAAGATAAAAACAAAAAAGTACTTTAAAAGGGGTTGATTTGTCGCGAGGGTTGTCATAATAAACAACAAATTATTACTTTCCTTAGTTTCTGTACACTCCCTATATTTCTGTACGTATTTGTTTGTTGCAATAATATCAAATATAGGTACTACACTTATTCACCTACCTATTAGGTAATATAATTACAAATCCGTTGAAACCACCATTCCCTGCCCTGAAATGAACTACTATTTTGCATTTTTATGTGTTTGTGACTAATTAAAATTACTTTGGGTACGTAAATAAATGTAGTCATTAATTGATTTATTTTGCTGCATTTCTAGGCCTTTCTATATTGAAATTTGGAGTAAATTTGGCAATGGCTGCACCCCGACGGATGTTCTTGGGTTTGTAATTTGTAATTATACTACCTACCTAATAGGTGGGTGAATATCGTCATCATTCGTCAATATTTCATTTTATTCGTTTTCTTCTCAGCAAACCCGTTTATTTGATATCCATGCATTTGATTTATCATGGGGCTGATTTAAAAAACCTAGTCCATCATCTTTGGAAGACCATCATAATAGATTAAGAGTGACGTTACTTTATTTTGTATTCTTCTCAGCAAACTCTTTCTTTCGATTCCCATACCATGGGGTTTATAAAAAATAACTAGTTCGCCATCTTGGATGGTCCGCCATATTAGATTAGGAGTGATGTCAGACAGAAAATTGTATTTAAATCATTCAAACCGTTTTGGAGATGAATGGGAATATTCATTTGCACACACTAACAAAATAACAAACAACCTCTCACGCATCCGCCTGTTTGAATCGCCTTGGTCGAAAAAGATTTTCTTTTTAAGAATTTCTTGACAGACAACTTATGCAAAGCTAACGCTCTGTAACGGGCTATTTGGACCACGTTTGTCATCATCATCTACGCAATCATAAACTTATAATTAGTAGCCTTTTACGACTCGTTAACAAGTAACACATTTGACTTTTTTTTTTTGGTATTATGTCCGAGACCAACATGGGACCAATCAGCAGAAATTAATTAAAATACCCCACTCATAAGTTAAATACTTTTATTGCCTGAAAAACCCGTCTTCGAAATCAAATTATTAAATACCAAAAATATTAAAGATAGCGAACCCCTACCATGGCTGAGAAGGCTATTGAAGGCTGAAATTCTCTATTAACGTTTATGATTCACAATAATAGATAGAATCGTGCCTGTGCAAACCTACGGCACATTCGATTTCAATTGCATTCGCGTATTTGCATTCCAGCATTCTTGTAATTCTAAAGATAGCTTTAGAGCGAATGGAATTCTAATGACACAAGAGATTTTCCACACATAATATTGAACTGAGTGCTTCAATTTAGAAACCGAATCAATTTTCTGTGGCAAAGCGAGCAATAATTTATTAAAAGATTTTTAATTAAGAAAAACATTTTACTTAATTGTCAAAATTCATGCATAGATAGATAGTCGTATTTCATTTTCTTTTTATACGTGGTAGGGTCATTGCAGTTATATTATAAGTATAATTGTGGCACGAATGGGTCGGCTCGACCGGGGAAGGACCACACTCTCACAGAATACCAGCGTAAAATAGTAGCTTAATGCTGTTGTGCTAATTTTTACTGGAACAGAAACAGAAACAGAAACTTTTTTATTCGATGTAGATTATAAACAATACTTATTGAAAGTCAATTTTTTCATTTACCACTGGTTCGCAAAAAAACCTCTGTCCTGGGAAGAACCAGCGAACCGACAAAAAAATGGAAAAAACTGGAAACGAGGCATTCCATCTAGGACTACCTCACGGGTGAGAACGCATTTGCGTTTTGATTCGTAATTGAGGGTATATATACCCTCAATATTATATACCCTCAGTTTTGATTCGTAATGAGGGTATATATAGATGTCTATGGCCCACAGCAACCACTTACCATCAGATGGACTCTGTGCTTGTTTGTCACCCCATCCTATAAAAAAACCTTATATTAATACGTGAAGAAAAGCCCGTTTTATGCATTCACGAAGGAGTTTAAGATTTAGCATAGTTAAAGTTTATATGAAGAAGGAGTACAAAGAAAATGTGGTAAAAATACATTAAATTAAAGTACAGGCCGAATTTATTATTTTTATTTTATTATATAACTAACTCAGTTTACAAACCCATTACCCTCTATTAGTATTAGGTCTAAACCTTTTTATCTAAATCCTTGCCCTTACCATTACGTCTTGTTAGTAAAGGGATATCAATATTCTATTGCACAGGGTAGCGCTTGCTTTTGAAATCAAAGCAAAAAAAGAAATCCCTAAAACTGAAAATATTTATTTGCTCTTTTAGTAAAAACTAACTGTTTTATTTCCAATAGTTCCATTTAATTCCATTAATTGAACAAGATAAAAAAGCTTCTAAAATTGAATTTTTTAATACTAGTTCGACACGCTAGCACAACTATCATCCAAGGAGAATTACCATCCATATTCGGACCAGAAAAAAAGTGTACTCTACTGCAAATGGTATTAAAATCTATCCGATGATAACAGTTTTTACATTTAAAATTATAGACTAAATAAACTTTACTATTAAATTAAAATTACATATCAATAATTGATCAATGCTTTGTAACATTTTTATATCAAAATTAATTTTATTGATGATATTGATGGATTGGATTTACTGGTGCCCTTTTAATACCTTTCTATTGTCCTAGCAGCGGAAAGTTAAGAAAAACCAACAGATTGTATAAAACATGATGAAATATGCAGAGAGTCGATGGTTGTAAGTGTAGTTTTCTTTCGTTAACGACTTCTTTGTAGAATCGTAAACCACCTTTCCAATCTTTCCAGGCCGATACGACTTAGACTTTCACGCAACGAGCTTACTCCCTTTCAGTGGCATGATAACCCACCTGCAATTTTTCTGGTGTTACACTTACCATTTGCCATATTAAACATACCATCAGGTGATCTGAATGCTAATTTGTCTCACTTCATTAAAAAAATATGGGGACTTTTTATTTAATTTGAAAATGAACACAAAAATCCAAACCGTAAAACTTTAGTTTGTTTTCGACAGTAATTTTAACTAAGAGCTTAATTTATTCACTTACCTGTAGCAATCCATAGCGCAACTCGATATCAATAAAATAGTACTCCTTAGCGAATGGTGGGCGCTGAGGTGGCGCTTGCTGAAGTTGGTACTGAGAACTTGGCGGACCCAGCGATATTGGATAAGGCATAACCGGTGCTTGTCCGCCCGGCAGCACTGGGTTTGACTCCTTGGTTAATGCACACAAATTTCTTAAACATACTTTAAACGTAGACTAAATGAATAAACATGGAATTATAAACGGAAGTATAAACGAAAATCCTCGACGTCATTGCCATTTAAGTCCATCATAAATCAACCGCTAAAAATGTCTTTTATACATTCCCCCAGAGATTCACGTACAGGTATACGATGGTTGTAGGTGGCTCGGGGCTCTATTTTGTGGTAATCAATGTAAACCTTTGCTCAGAAGTGGACTTGTGATGTGTTATAGTGATATTCTGACGCATGATCCCAAAGCTTTTTCAGAAACCCGACATCGTCTCTGTCAGTGTCAGTCATCGTGTCAGAACACGATTCGGTATCTTTAGACTAGAATTTGCATCGAGTAACCCGCCTTAGATAAAAAAAGAAAAAGTGTTCGACACTAACCCAAGATCAAAGAAATAAATCTTATTGCTATAAAAATATATTTATAGAATATAAAATTTCTACTTACGTGCCAAGATAAAATGTTATGCAGGCTCGCTAGCACTGACTCGGATGCGAATGCAATTGTATGAGTACCCTCTTCTAAGGAGTGAATAATTTGAAGCATTCTTGGATTTCGCATTTTCTCGAGCTGAATGACACAATACCTAATACGCTCAAGCATGCTCTCCTTGCGCTTTGGCTTATACAGCTTCTCAGCAATGCGCTTATCAAATACAAACACCGAGCATTCCTGCGAAAAGAAGGTAAATATTATATATAGTAAAATATTCATACTTTACCGTGTAGTGGCGATGTAAGTATAACCCCTACTCCATATTGTTTGGTGGGTACAATGCGATACAAAGAAATAAACTAGGAGATAAGCAGCAGTGTCTGACAGCCTGTCTGCCACCCGTGGCAACTGCGGCAAATATCCACCTTATGAAGCGATCTACAGAGGAGGGCTTTGTTGGTCGTTATTAAGATGATGACGATGAATCAATTAGATTTAGTTTTTATTAACGGTGTTTTCTTAAAGTAAGTGCATTTTTATTATAAATAAAGGTTAAAAAAGGTTAAAGTTACAGCCTATATACGTCCCACTTCTGGGCACAGGACTCCGCTCATTCCTGAGAGGGTTTTAGGGCAATGACTTGTCTGCCGCGCTGCCCCAATGCGTGTTGGCGAATTTCATGTCTCTTCGAAATATTTTTTTCTTATTTCTCAGAAATACAGGTTTCCTCACGATGTTTACTTTCACCGCCGGGCACACGGTAAATCAGCACTTAAAATTGCAATTAACAATTTCATTGATGACGGCGGGGATCGAACCCGGTTTGCTAGCGTACTGTGAAATTTAGACCGAGCGCTAAACATCTGAGCTACCACGGCTCTTTGTTATAAATAAGTAAATAAATAATTATAATAGTAACAATAATTGAGTTATATACATCAATTTAAAAAATTGTATTTCACTTTAGTAAAAAAACTGACTATAAGTAAACAATAAGTGGAATAGTGGTCAAGCACTTTAGAAAAGTAAAACAAAAAAAAAAAAACAAAAACAGCCACAATACTCGAACGCTTTGCAGGTTTTAGGTAATAATAGACATGAAACGACGGTTATTACCGATAGCACGCCGGAAATTAAGGGCTACGCGAAGTAATAGACGACACTGCCAGCGATATCATCAATTTATTTTTAAGCTCTGCTTTGAAAAATAAATATAAACCACAATACAAACAAGCCTTCTCATCATAGTAATTTTTTTATAGAATATGTGTGACAAACGAGCACAGACTGTCTGATGTTAAGTGGATGCCGTGGCCCATAGATATCTACATCTTAAGTCTCCTGAGGACTAAGATGGAATGCCTTGCTTTCAATAAAAAGGATTCCCAATTATCACTATATATACACTCAACATACGAAACTGAGCAAGGTAAAGCTGCTATTTTAGGCAGGTATTCTGTGACATCAAGGTCCATCTTGATCAAGCTAACCCATTCGTGCTACAATCATAATCTTAATATATATAAATCACGTGTCACGTTGTTTGTCCGCGATGGACTCCTAAACTACTCAACCGATTTTAATCAAATTTGCAAAACGTGTGCAGTTTGATCCAACTTGAGAGATAGGATAGTTTTTTTAAGCCCATCAGTGACCCACAATTTTTTTAACTAATTTATGGATTTTTATAGGATATGACAAAGGGTTGTCGAAAAGGGCAGAACAACGTCTGCCTGGCAAGCTAGTATTTTTATATAATAAGGATAAAAAACGAGTACACAGTCCACCTGATTATGAATGGATGCTGGAGTCCATAAATATATGTATTTATCCTTGATTAAGAATCAAAATACAGATGCGTTATCAACTCTGAGGACTGAAATAGAATGCCTCGTGTCTAGTAAAACGTTCTCGGGTTCTCTACACTCACCATAATAAACCCAGTAGCATCAAGCTGCTGTTTTACGCTAGTATTTTGTGAGAGCGTGATTCTACCCCATTCGTGCTACAACCATATAATATAACTGTAGCATGATGATAGGTATTATGTTATATTTTATAATTACATGATATAAGCTTTATCGGCCGGGCTTTGATCAGCTCTCGTTGGGATTTAACAGAAATCACCACCCAAACATGCTTCGCGGACCGTTGGGGTAAGAATTAACAGCCCTAACCCCGTCATTGTTTCCCAGTGTAGAAACGGACCCCCCAAAATTGTATGGCTAAATCGTAAACTATGGGGAAGGCTTATGTTCAGCAGTGGAGTTTTACACAACACGACAATATAAAATATCCATTATATCCATTTAATGGAATGCATATTTTATATTGTTATGCTATAGTAAGTATATTATCGTTTATGCTAAAACTTGGTATTATGTTTATATTAATCTGTCTGACAGAAAGTTTAGCCATAAAATATGAATGAAAAAAGAGAAATATAATATTTTCAATTTAATCCCAATGTTAAGTCAAAAATAAAATATATTTTCCTCCCAGTTACAAAACAGAAGATAAAACAGCGCAATGAAGCTCAGTTTAAATTTATGCCGCAGGGAGAATGCAAGCCAATGAAATAGCACTAAATTTAAAATAAATAGCGTAGGAAATTGAACCTAATTGTCAGTGCAAACTTTTACTAAATGGATGCATTAAGAGTTGTTGTATTTTTTAATCGAAATAACAAACGAACATACACTCAACCTGATGGTATTGAAGTCCATTGACACCAACTTAAATCATTTTTGCAATTTTATTATGGTATGGTAGTACAAATAGGTCGACTTGACCGGGCAAGGATCACACTTTCACAGAATACCAGCCTAATAAAGCAGCGCGATGCAGCTACGTTTCGTATGGTGAATGTAGAAAACCGGGCACCCTTTTTACTGGAAATGAGGCATTCCATCATAGTCATCAGGGGTGGCAACGCATCTGCATTTTGATTCTTAATCGAATATAAATAAAGATGCTTTATGGGCAACAGCTGAGGACTTGGATGAAATGCCTCATAGCCTGAAACTATACCGGCTCTCTACACGCTTCAGACCATAACATAGAACTTCAAAACCAGATGTCCTCATTCGTAAAAATATGTTCTGTCATAATTAATCCTTAAATTTTAAAAAAGGTAGATTCTTTAAAAGGTTCAATACGATCAACACTAATCGCTTGTTCAACTTAACACTTTATATACTTCTCAAGCTTATCAGCAGTTGTTGATGCATCTAAACGTAACACGTGTAAGCAAAGAGATCTCGGAGTAACTCTAATAATTGAATCACCTTCCGGTTACACAGCCTCGCTGCCCTGCCTATTTCTATTTTTCTTCTTATAAGACACAGTCACAAACCCTTCTTCTTTATTTGTTGCTAGCAGATTAACTTCTTTTAGGCTACGTAATAGTGCAGACGTACTTTTTTGTTACTTATTGTATCGTCTGTCCCGCCTAACGCTGTTACCGTACTCATACTTGTAGTTACAGAGGGACGTTCAATAAGCATTAAATATTTATGTAGGTCCTCCAAGTTGATTACGTAGGCAATACGTTTGTAATGTTAAACAATTCAACAGAACAATGTCCTTTAAAAGGCTGGTTACATCAATGTGATCAAATGTCACGAGTGGGAGCCTATTAAGTTTCTTCGCCACAAACACTAGAAGGCTAGAACGCTTCGTTTCTTTAATAATTTTTATCCTGAAGAAGCTTTTAGTTTTACCCTTTTTTTTTTTTTTTTTTTTTTTTTGCATGGGGAAATGCCTACGCATACCCGCCTCGCGGGGGGCAAGGACGGGTTATGTCGGACTCGCACCGACTAAAACCCCATGGTGTTCCACCTTTGTCGCATATTGGCAGGGCTACGGGAACACTTTCGCACACATCCGCGGCCCTACTAGCGCCTGCCGCCCCATGGCAGCACCTCCTCGGGAGAGGAAAATTCCTCCCCATTCTCCTTCCCAGGTAAGGCGCACCAGAACACATGGCGCGCCTTCCTCCACGGCCTCCAACTACGTCTGTGCAACAGACGCCCCCGCGTCCGATGCACAAAGGCCATGGGGCCAGGAAAAACGAGCACTTAGAAGTACTAGCCTTCCCGACCCCAGCGGCGGATCTGGTCTATGGCTCCGCCGCCAACCAAGATTCGGCTGCGGAGGGTAGGGAGAGCGGCGCCTCGCAATACCGACAATCCTCTCCCCCCGCAGCCCCACCACCACCGCATCAACGGTGCGGCCCCGTTTGAGTCGCGAAGGATAGGGCGAGTGGCGCATCGCCATACCAACACTCCTCTTCCTCCGCGACTCCACCTCGGCTGCAGCGGTAGAGGGTGCGCGAGTCCCCACTCGCTGCAGTCCACCAGCACACATCCAAAGTGGGCTCCCCAAGCCCACTCGGAGCGGCCACCTCAGGCCGGCCCTTCACCTCGGGCCAGCCACGTGGGTCCCGCTTTGTTCACCGTGGGAGACCAAGCCACGGCTACTAAGCCCCCCGCCACGACAAGGCGGGAACCCGTTCGGGGGGGTTTTAGTTTTACCCTCCGCTTTACATTTCGCGTGTCCAGTTAGTGAAGAATCCAACAGAACCGCCTTCGCAAGATCAATTTCTTCTTCCGTAAAGTTAGATTCACGTGTTTGTAGTAAACTGACATCATCAATCACGTCGACTTTACATTTAATAAAACAAAGCAGCTTGTTTGCCACTAAACGGCAACCACACAGATTTGATATTTTATATTAGCGAAGCGAAGAAAAATGCATACACGTCCGTATGGTAGCGATACGCGCAACAAATCTCATATCTAATCTAAATCCAATATGGCTGGCGTCATAAAATTACGATTTATAATTTCTATAGCTTTCTGATATCTCAAAACGTCGAGATCTGATGAAAACTCGATTTTCGAAAATCGGGGTGTAACCAATAACTTCCCTATTTTAGAAAATTTTCAATTTTCGTAGCGGGAAGTTAAAAATCATGTTTTTTATAAAATATGTAAATCTCACAACAAGCTTTTACATGATATGAACAGCATAGTGTAACAAATTGATGTATGATTTAATTAAAATTTTTATTTTCTTCTCCAGGTTCATACCATAACATTGCTATTATATTTTTCTGTCACCTCTTCGTAGCAGCCTAGGGTCAGGAAGGAGTGGTCTATGCAAACTGCTACTGAGAATTTCTTGGCAGAATAATATAATAGCAAATATTTAGAGAGTGCATAATCGTATTCTTGCTCTTCGCGGATGGCAAGTCCCTATTGAGTCTGGCCATTGTGACTGAAATACAGTCAGGGGCATATTTTACTAGAATCCGGCATAAAATCCCCTGTTCACTCGTTTCGCAGTACGCTTTTAACTCATATTTTCACTAGAACGCTTTTCACTCAAACTTTTGGTTGCCCTAATATCAATTTATTGGATCCATTTATTTGATTTAATTGTAAGTTTGAAACATCACTATATCATACAATTCTAATTAATGTTTGCCGGAAACTTATCTCATTACTTCACTAAAGTTACTATTTACGAACTAAATCAATTATTCTACCCCAGGGCAAACAAGTTTCATCCTAATTGGAGCTTACATGAGATTTTCATGGACCTATATCGAACTAAACCGTTAATTATAAAACGCCAACTTTGATGCTCATTTTTATTTCAGTATCATTACAATGGACAGGACATCTTGTAGTCTTCACTACTTACTACCATCAACCAACTTCATAAAGCAAACATTATCAATTCCAAATTTGTTGTTCCTTGTAAGTTAGGTAGTATGTTAAAAATATGTAATATGTAAAATTATTACTTTTTAACGATATCGTAGTAGATATTGAACAAATTTTGCTGTTTTTTTTTATTTACTCATAGGTAATATCGCGTGTTGACGACATAATAGATTTCATCAACCTATTTAGTCCCGTGGGCGTCGCGTCGTAAACGGTGACTACGTAATATTATATTGATAACATTAAAGATGTTCTTACTTTATATGCTAGGAATAAACACAAATAATTCATTCATAGGACAATGTATATGTGTATAAGCGTAATATATGTACGCTTTTACCACAAATTCCCAGAAAATTTCCAAATTTGGTCAATAAACAATTTTAAAAGATTTATTAAAGGACAATTATACAAAAAAGGTTAATATAATATCAAAGCATACATAAATGAAAATAACGTATAAGAAGTTCTATTAAAATTAATTTAAAAAGGTGTACTAAATTATTGCAAAAGTGATATATGTTTAAAAAAATAATCCGCTGGGTTTCTTGCTGGTTCATCCTAGGACAGAGGTATTTCCAGACTAGTGTTAAATCACAAAAATTACTTTCAATACGTATTATGTATAATCTGTATTGAATAAAACTCATTTATTCTCTTCTATCCTATGCCAGAATGCTCTCATGTTTTCGCTAGAAATTACTAAACTGGGGCCAGGTGGCAGCGGTACTGCGACTTTCAATTCGCCTGCCAAGCTTAATAGTCACGCTCGAAGAGGCACAGAGCAAATGAACAAAATGATAATAAAAGTCATTTAATATAATAAAATTCACAACTACTGATACCGCACTTGCAATAAATTAAATAAATCGCATACGATGAAGGGACACCGATTATCAAGGCTTATAGTGCCGACGTGCAGAATGGGCGGAATACCGTTGGAATTAGTTTGCGAGTCGAACGGAACCTGTCCTTTCCACGACGAGACGGATTAACACAGTTATATTTCCGTGATAAAAAGTGTTTATGGTGCCCGCTACGATCTTTTTTTCTTTTGAAAAAATGTGTGTTTGTTATCCTCTACCATAGGTCTGGCTTAATCCAACGTAATGGGCTTTTAGCATTGTGATACACTTATCTTCCTTATATTTTTTTTAAATACCCCTATCCTAAGCATTTCTTCTGTACTATATACATAAATTACTCATTAGCTAAACCCCGGACCCGAAAAAAATATTTTAGGACCCTACAAATACTCGTTTCATGGCGGAATCGAATCTGCGCCCCTTAACGCCGTATCCGAACTGCCACTGCTATATCAAACAATCAAGGGTTTTCTTTGCTGAAGTCACAAGTGATGTTCAGTACTTGAGATTATCTATATAGAAAAGGTGGCTCATTTTGGTCATTCCCTTCCGAAACTTAAATCTTCTCCCGGAGCCCTTCAGTAAGGTACTAAGAGGGTTCAGAGAGAGGTAGAACCAGATTGGACTCAGACGATCGCCCTGGAAGATACCCTTTCTTATCCTCATGTGGTTCCCCTCAGCCGTCATCTGCTCGCCCAGATGACAAAGGATCGTACTCCACTGCCCCATACACTGCTCGAGGAAATCTCTAACTGTACAGCTAACCCTGTACAGCTCGAGCTCTTTAGTCATGTATGGAGCACCGTGTCGAATGCCTTTCTGTAGTATATCCAGGCAGTGGAGAAGTTTCGCCGCTTACGCTGAACCATTTTGTCAATGGCCGCGTCAATGAGGAGTGGTTCCTTGGTTATCGCCGAATCCGCTTTCCCCAAGCAACGATTCTCTGCTTCAGATCATCTATGCACTCCGTCAGTTTTTGCGTTATATCCGGCTGGGACAAACTGACACTTATCCGAGCAAACACCATCATGACGCTGCACATAATCGTTGGCCTGTTATTGCCTGACCTGAAGCATATCATTCGGCCGATGAGATCCCTAGCCTTTGCGATACGTTCCCTAATTCTTATTATCCAGGCTGGGATAGCGCTACTTTGTCTAATAGCGCGTCCAACCGTAGAAACATTGGCGCCTATAATACGGCAGACTGCCAATGCGGCCTCAAAAAGAATTGAGTCCATCTCGCAAAGGTCCTGGCTGGCTTCCAAATAGGTCACCAGCATTGGGTTCAGAGCCCTCACGATAGACCTATTCCGCTTGCTTAGGGCTATGCGGAGATGTCACGATCGATTTTCGAGAGGCGTACTGCGCGTTTATTTGCAAGTTGTGGCGCCGAATCCTTAGCCGTAGCATTTTCATCCGATGAGAAAACAGCCTCACGTCGTAGCCGTTCGAGTTCGGTGACATCAAATATATTTGAGCACAAGATATACTGAACTTGTTTTGCCAGGTTTTGCTCGGTAACGGTTACAGATGGCTCCAGCTCAGCAAAAAGTCGATGCATCCTAGCCCGATATGCAAAACCTCCAATTTCTCCCCCTTCGCATTAAAATGCGCCCGCAATGCGTTGCTGTTCATCTGGATAGTTCAACGCATGCAGCATAATCCACCAATGATGGGTGCCGATTGCTGGGCCCGCGAAGACTCTGCTGACACCAAGCCAGCAGGTGGGGATGATGAATGCGAGGGGCTCCTGGGTGATCATGCAACACCTCGCACTCTCGCGTTCGCATGCTGTCGCGTTCAGCGTCAGCTCCAGACGCGCCTCGGTGACCTCCAGGCAGCGGCCCTATGCGTATCCTTCGGAATTCCATCATCCTTATTATTATTATTATTACATTGATTATTAAGAAATATTGCAAAAGAGTACTAGAAAACGAACATATAATTTAAAATTGTCTTTTATGGAAATAGATTACAGATATAAGCGAACTCATTAATTTGGTATCTGTTCAATAGTAACTATAGTCTTTGCGTTGTAGCATGGTGCGGATGACAGGTCACTAGAACGTAACTTGCGTACGTTTTCAACAAACTAGTACGACAAAATTATTAACTATGAGAAAATATTACTATATTTCTTTTTATAAAATTTTCTATTCTGTTATGACTATTAGATTCAGATAGATTATTTATTAGATAGATTAGATTACATTACCTTCAAAAATCTCACTTTATACATTTTTTGCTGATAAAATTATTAAAAGCTTATTTTATTTTAATTGTTTGCGCAGTTACATACTACAGTCATTTATTTCAAATTACAAAATATATACCTTAGATTCGGACGTAAAGACTGTCGAGCGAATACAACCGTAGCTTGAGCTTGACAACAAATATGTAAGATAATTAATTCTATTTTGAAATGTATATTGCAGTAATGTATATTATATTTAAGGAACGTATACTATATAAAGTTACAGTATAATATTCATGTATATTATATTTGTGCCGGACGGGCGAAACTCTCCGGAGTAAATGTTGTCGAAGATACTTCGCGAGTCGCTCACGTCCTACACCTATAGCTGCCGTCTTTGTGGTTGCCGCTGAAATATTGTGGACTGAGGTTCAAATCAAAATGCACGATTAATAAATACAAATAGCAAGGTAGTGGCCAGCGGTTCGACTGATTAATTAGTCGCGAAATTTTATAACTATTGACCACGGTTGAACTACGGTTGTTCACTATTGGTTGGTCACTGTATATTTCAAAAGATTTCTTTAAATTTTACGGTACGGTAGTAGCTGGTTTTCTAACACTACTGACTAGCAGCTATTATTAACTAAACTAGCTGATTTTATCACTTGTGTAATGCGGATATCAGTTACCACTTTCACTATATGTAACTGCGAATATCAGTTACGACCTTTTTCGGCTAGCTAACACTTTCACTACATGTAACTGCGAATGTCAGTTACGACCTTTTTTCGGCTAGCTAACACTTTCACTATTCACTATATACTGCTACTAGTCACTTCAGCTACTACCGGATACCACTCACTTCACTTCACTTGTCACTGGTAGTTCTTCACACTACTACTCCTACTGGGTCACGAGCCCCTAAGGTAGACTTTAGCAATACTTTACAGTGAGCCGCTTGCCATTTTCCGTTTTGCCTCTTTATTGCATAAACTTTTCACTATACAAATGGCATAAATTGCAATATTTTCTATACAAAACTAATTGCTACACTAACATGCTATACATCATTAAATCGGTAGTCTGGTACTTTATTAGTATATCATAAAGATTACTCAAAACATAAACATTGTAAAAAGTTATTAAACGAAAAGTCCCAAATTTTCATAATATTTGGGTACATTAATTCTTTAATTTTTATATAATTATCAAATGCGTTTAATTATACAAAATATTCCTACACTTCTGTAATCTATAAGCCTTATGCTAATTCAATATCATATTTACAACTCTTTTAGAACATAAAATTATTTTCATTATTTTTGGTATGAACTATTACGCAGTTAATTAAAAAACTTCTAGAGAGTTCTACGATAAGACGCGCTGTGATTGGTCGATTTTTCTTAATACAATAAAAGTTGTATATATTACTTGTTATCAAAACGACATTCTATACAAATATACTAAGAGTTATAAACATGCTAAACAACTATATTAATACACGTTTTCACCCAGTTTTGTCGGTAATTTCATTATTAATAAAAAAAACAATATTCTTTATAAGTTTGTTTCTTAGCGTTGTTAGGCCGTCGCGAACAATATTAGGTAACTTACGATTCATGTACTACAATAAACAAATAAATAGAATAGGTGGTAAAAATAGCCAAAATAAATGTAATATTTATTAATAATTAATATAAATAGTTTTATATTAATTTCACCATTTAGTTGTTCTCGTTTAAATTAATGTCGGAGGTGTAAACCAACCCCCTCGCTTGACTCCCAATGCTTTGTTTTGTTCGTTTCGGCATTTTAAATAAACAAACTCACCAAATAACAAAAAAAAACTTAACAAAATATAACAATCAACTCAATTAACAAAAGTATTAGCAATATAAAAGCATCTGATAATTAAAAAACGGCTGAAAGGTACTTCACAAAAAGCTCTAGGTGTCGACATATATTATACACATATACAGTAAAAGGCACTAGCACGCACACCCTGAAAAGTTGCAGGTGCAGTCAATGTCGTACTGAAAATCACATATGCTGGCAGCCATTTTCTTTATTTTAACATCAAAATGAACGATTTCTCTTTCCAAATTAATACACAATTTTTATATAGAAGAGGAGGCAAACGAGCGTGCGGCTCACCTGATGGTAAGTGACTACCGTTGCCCAGGTGCGTTGCCGGCCTTTTAGAAAGTAGTAAGCTCTTTTACCTAGGCTGCACTAAAAGTATCGGGAATGGAATATTTACACTGTTCCTGTCATATTAAAATCTTTTTAATTGAAAACTCCTTGGTTGTAAAAATCGAATACCATTTATTTATTTAAAAAAAAGATTCTCGGCTCTTGTCACAAGGTTTTGTCAAACTTGTTTAGTCGTTGAGAAAATGGAATTGACTGGAGAAAATTCAAGAGCGATGATTTATTATGACTTTCGAAGTGATTTAACACACAAAAAAACAGTGTGTTGACCGGATGATTTCTGCATTTGGTGATGAAGCCTCATCCAAAACCACAATTTATCGCTGGTTTGCTGAATTTCAACTTGGACGTGTCAAGCTCAGTGATGATCCCCGTCAAGGTGACATACCGCGAAATTCAGGCAACTTTAGATATTGGCTAATCTTGCATGAACAATTAGGTGTAAAAAAGTTGTTTTCCCGATGGATACCGCATTCGCTCTGCGAAGAGCAAAAAGCGGCTCGCGTTACATGGTGCGTCAGAACTCTCAAAATTCCACCAGGATCCTCAAATGCTATATACAACATCGTATCAGGTGAAAAATCCTGGATATATGCGTACGAACCCGAAATAAAAAACCAATCACGAGTTTGGGTGTTTGGAAATGAGTTAAAGCCAACAAAAATTGTTCGTTCATGGAGTGTTGCAAAAAAAATGGTGGCCACGTTTGTCTCCAAAACCGGCCATGTTACGACTATTCCTCTTGAGGGCAAAGAACGGTTAATGCAGAATGGTATGCTAGCATTTGTTTGCTTTTAGGTCGTTTCTGAACTCCGTAAAGAGAACTGCAACCGCCGCATCATCCTCCATCACGACAATGCGAGTTCTCACACCGCACACAGAACAAAAGAGTTTTTAGAGCAAGAAAACATAGAATTATTAGACCATCCGCCGTACAGCCCCGACCTAAGCCCTAATGATTTCTATACTTTCTCTAAAATAAAGAATAAATTGCATGGACAGAGATTTTCATCACCTGAAGAAGCTGTGGACGCCTACAAAACGGCCATTTTGGAGACCCCAACTTCCGAATGGAATGGTTGCTTCAATGATTGGTTCCATCGTATGGAAAAATTGTCAAATTTCGCGGAAAATACTTCGAAAAGCAATAAATACATTTTTAAATAGTAATGTTGTGTCACTTCCTTGATTCCCGAAATTTTCAGTGCCGCTTCGTATTGAAGGTCCCTAAATCGTATCGGCCAAGAAAATTCGCCGGTGGTAAACAATTCCACAGAGAGGTTGTACGATGAAGAAAACTCCTAGTAAAACTTACAGTGGTGGGCCACCAAGCATCCAGTATGATGAGATGTGCAGTAAATGAAAGAACTGAATGAAAACAATCAATAATCAATTTGACTATCGCATCGGCGACACTGACCATCTCTTTTTCTTTAAAAAAATGTCAGTCTATACCAACTCTCTATCTCACTCTATCACATATATCTGTCTCGCGTTCAAACGTTTTTAACTATGACTTAATTAAAAATTATTTTTTGTACTAAACTCACATTTTTCGTTATTAGATTTGTGACTCCAATCATTATCATAGTTATTTAGGATTACATTAAAAAAAACACCAAATAATTTAGAAATATGTGACCCAGGCAACATTTTCAAAAGTATAACTATTATAGCTCAGCCAAGCGACATGGTTTTTTTTTTGCTAGAATTAGTACAACCTAGCTCAGCGCCCCGTACCCGCTTTTAACGTTGAGTTTCGAGACACCTGTAAATACAATATGTAACGTAACGCACACCCTCAGACACCCCAAATAGTATATTATGTTATTATCATAATATATACACTGAATTTTAGTTGAACATTTTTAT